AGGCAATGTTTTTCTACAGCTTGGCACTGCAAAGCATTTTGTTGTCTTCGGAGCCATCTTTATCGTTTGGTTTCTGGGTAGACCTGCGTTTTGCTCTCGTTATTTACATGCGCGAATCGGTGGGCGGGGCTAAACAGGCAGTGATGTAGAAGTAGGCGTTGATCTTCTTCTGCGGAGGCGGGGTTTAGCCACACTATCACATCATAGAGCGGCACATTCCACAACCTGTCATTTTGGCAGACTGGCTTCAATATAAGCTGTTTTTAGACTAACAAGAAAGTTTTGAGTTCTGAAAATTACAGGATGTTTTTATAGTTCAATGACCTTTTACATGTCAAAAGATCAAGGGAATTTTGATTTCTCAGTTCATGACCCCTTTAAAAAGTGATTTCAGAGATTATTGGATTAAAAATGTGATGTTTAACCGAATGTGTTACTTGTCATTTCTTTGTAATTGTCTGTGAAACATACTAGCAATTTCTGAAGGAAAATTGTTTCAAAGTAAATCCTACACCAATTTTTTTCAGGACTGCACACGCAGTCTCTTTTTAAAGAGCATAAAAGTGCAAAATGTTGCCACTGAAAGATTTATATGAACACTTAATTACACACTATCCAAAATCTGATTTCTGAAATATTAAAGAGTAAATGTGAACGTCAGCACTGAATTTGATTTGGTGCTGAGTGTAATGCAGCTGAAGAGGAGCAGCAGAACAGCCCTTAGCTCTGTTGTATAACCAGCGGACAACTAGATGAGTGAGTGGGCAGAGTAGTGTGCCTCTTTTCCCACCCACCCACTCACACACACACACACACACACACACACACACACACTTACACACTTCAGAGGGCCACACTGAATACATTTCCACAATCTGGACTGGATCATCTTTCCTTTCCAGTGTAAATTATCTATCTATTAATCAGTCAATCTATCTATCTATCTATCTATCTATCTAGGCTACATCTATCTATGCTGTATCTTCACTCTTTGATCTATGCAGTGAAGTGCCATGACACTGTTGTCCTACATGCAATTCTGGGTTGATTTATTTTCTTTCTAGAAAATCTGTTTAAGGCATTTATGAAAAAGATACACCATTTCCTTTAGCTTATATAATAGATTACAGCATTTGACAATTTGTAAACTGCAGTGAACAGCGGTCGGTGACTCTGACAGATGTGACAGTCGGACCAGCTCAGGGAAAATTACTGGATGCGGCGAGAAAGAACTAAAGAATATGCGTCACGTGGTTCTAATAGGCTCCAGCACTCCTCTAGTTCAACTCTTGCCGGGGATAATCTTTCCTGATGATCCTAGTAAACTGAGCAACATGTCCCAAACTCAAGTGCGATGTTTTCAGGACACACATAATGTGTGTTTAGCCCATAAACAGCTAGCCGGAGAAAAGACACGTCCCTCTTACCTTTTTCATGGATTTGTGGGTCGGGACCGCAGTGAATGCGGCGGACAGCTCGCCGACGTTCATGTTCACGTCGCTGTTCTTCGTGCCTGTCATCGCGGAGTATTTCTCAGCAACGTTTTCGCTCTCTTTAAACTCTTTGCTGGCCTGTTTCACCTCCAGCTTCGCATCCTCGCCACAGTCTGTCATGGCAATCTATATCTATGCGCTTTCGGAGCCGTTGCCGGTGGTTTTACGCGATAGTCCTTCAGCTCTGTTACTGTAACCTTTCGATTCGTCCTTGTGTTGCTGGAGCGCTTCAAAAGCTCCGACTATCTCAAAAGCGGAAGGGGTGATTTCGCAAAACGTCTGCAAGAGAGGAACAAACTGTCGAATACGGATGCTAGTAAATAAGAATGTAGTATCACTCCAAGCCGCAGTGGACCTCAGATTATTATATTTGACTGTCCGGTTGACGGCCAGCATCAGCGGTGGGCGGGGCTTGAAGGCGAGCACCTGCACGCAGAGGAAATTGCACGAGAACTGTTTTAACGGTGCATGTAACGTAATCTGTCGGTTGTAAGACCTTATTTTAAACAGTTCTAGTCAAACATAACTAATATTTACGATAATATTTTTGAGAGGTCAACCTCGTGAAAATACTTCAAAAATTGTATGTAACATTATTAATCCGAGTTGAATATAGTTTGAGAAATGTAGGCCCTATTCTTCTCAAAACGTATTCAGAATGTTAACGGGAAACAATTACGAATTGAATGACCTGTATGATATAGGATTTAAATTGACAGTTGACACAAAAGTTAAAAAAAAAAAAATCTGATATAATTTACTCAAAAGGTTGAGACACAAGAGGTTGCATCTTTTCCATACAATGAAAGCAAACGGTGAAAGCTGCTAACTCTTTTTGCAATCCATTAAAGAAAGTCATACAAATATGAAACAGCATAAAGATTACTAAATTATTATAAATTTGTTATAATAGTAAGAATTACTGGGCCCCAGCCCCATGGTTGAGAGCCACTGCTTTGAAATATCTGATTTCAATCACAGCGAAGTAGATTAAAACACTGAACTGTTTGAATTTGGATCATTTACAGCCTTCTTGTGCTCACAAAGATTCTAATAATAAAGACAAGTTCACAAAGCATGATCTTTCACAATGCGTTTCGCACACAATTTTTATCAAAATACAGGTTAGATGACTTCAATGTCCAACATAACTCAAATTGCATTTCCAAGTAGGAACTAGATGAGCCAGGATTACAGTAACTGGATACACAAACCTCAGTCAAATTACAAATGATTGTTGTATCAAAACACTAATGTAAAATGACTTCATGTTATGGGCGAAACCTGTATAAAAGCTTGGGAAACAAGAACACCCTATATGACCGGTGTTTCCTTGGTGATGAGGACCGATTTCCAAAAAATGTTGCCCTTTTCCCCATGCCAAACATGTACAATACACTGAACAACACCACAATTAGCTTGTAAGAGATAAACCTACATCATTTCCATGTAACTTCCCACTTATAAATTCATAGGCCTGACATGAACTGTCCATAATGCTAAAAAAGTAGAAAATCAAACAGACTGCCTTGGTCTTCATGATGCAATTAATTATATTCTTGTTTGTTCTACTGCCACCTTTGAAAAACATTACGGTAAATGAGTCATTACTAACTGCGTATTCGCAGTCTCTCTGTGGTTCAATCTACGCTTTGCTATTTATTTGCTTTTTAAACCGCAAGCTGAATTCATTATGCTGTACATTAACAGTAATGGCCCTATGTGTGTCCTCTGGAGCAAATACAAGTCCACGGAGAGAAAACAGATGGGCCCCTCCTTTCAGTGGAAGACATGAGACAGCAGGAACACAGGTTAGTCACACTATCACATCATAGAGCGGCACATTCCACAACCTGTCGTTTTGGCAGACTGGCTTCAATATAAGCTGTTTTTAGACTAACGAGAAAGTTTTGAGTTCTGAAAATTACAGGATGTTTTATAGTTCAAGGAACACAGGTCACGATGAATTAGGACTGTCTGTTAGTGTTGCGTTGGAGACGGTGATTCACACTGGTGTAAATTTGGTCCTTCAGAGTTACTTAAAAAACACACAGTAGAAGTTCTAGTGCTATGACACCCGGATCATCTGGACCACGGCCTCATCTCCAGTCTGGTTCTGGTCCTGTTGTTCCTGCAGGGGAACGGGAGAGGAAGAGGGTCAATCATTACCCTCACGCCTAATTCAGATACGCTTCACTCAGCACCTCTAGAACACATTTCACTCACAAGTGTTTCCACTAGGGTTGGGACACCATGATTTATAGCATCAAGAAAAGCACTGAATAACCAAGAAAAAACAGTGAAAGGTTTATGTTTACCAAGCTGTCACATCATGGATTTCAGGGAAATGGCAGCTATTTAGACTTCTGTTCTATAGAACTGTTTAACGTTACAGACTTCATAGCAGATATCTGTTCTTTTCTAGTCAGGGAAGTATCTGGAAATATTTTTAAATCCCAAAACATTTAAGAGTAAAAATTACTTGACAAGACTTGATAAACAGGAATATGCATCACAAGCCACTACCGTTCAAAAGTTTGATAAGATTTTAATGTTTTTCAAAGTCTCTTATGCTCACCAAGGCTGCATTTATTTGATCAAAAATACAATGATGCATGAAATACAATGAAATATTACTGTTTTACATTTTTTATTTTATTTATTCCTGTGATGGCAAAGCTGATTTTCAGCAGCCATTAGTGCAGTCTTCAGTGTCGCATGATCCTTCAGAAATCATTCTAATGTACTGATTTGGTGATCAAGAAACATTTCTTATTATTATCAATGTTGAAACAGTTGTTCTGCTTAATATATTTGAGAGACTGATAGATTTTTTTAAAAGAACAGCATTTATGTGAAATAAAATTTGTAACATTTGATTGAATATAATGCATCCTTGCTGAATAAAAGTATTGATTTTTTTTTTTTCAGAAAAAAAAATGTAATTAAAAAATAAATAAATAGAAAAAACTTACTGATTCTAAACTTTTGAACAGTAGTCTAATTTGGTTGCAAACTTGTTTAACCTTTTGGAAGTCAGTCAGAATGTTTATTCAGAATAAAAATCACAACATGTGACAAAAATGAACACAGTGATAACACTGCATAGGTATGAAATCCAAGCACAAGGACAGAACCAGATCCAATCCAAACAAAAAACAACAACAGTAATGCTTCCTCAAAATAAATGTAGAAAACAAGATAAAAATATATATATTCAAACAAATCACATTTCTTTTAAACTGGTCCCTCAAAAAAATCATTTTCATATTTTTAGGTAGTGACTTCATAATTGAAACTGACAGAGTTTGCCAATGACAAAGCATTCATGCTTTCTTAAACCTTCATGCTGTTAATAATAGTGCTTGGACCAAACAGACAATCACGTGATAAAGTCAGTCACAACGCATTAGCAATTCTCAGTCCTGAAGAGCTGCATCAGTAGAATGCAGGGAATATCAGTGTTTTCATCCTGATTACGTCATAACAGTGAAGAGATGATCTTTTTCTTGTTAAATATGGCAGAACAGGAAATCTAAGTTCAGATAGACAGGTCATAAAATACCACACAGCAGATTTAGCAGATCATGCAGTCTGTACACACGAATGCTTAACTAGCAATGAGACATGATGGGACAGACTCAAGCAGCCAACAAGCACAGGAAAAAGCAGGAGGTGATGCGTGCAAGAGCAGCCAATGACAGCATGTCACATAAAGAAAAGAGCGAGAATGAATCTGCTAAGGAGAGCAAAGATGAGCGTCTATGCGAGGGGCGAAGTGTGCTCAGGCAGCCAATGTGAGCTCGCGAGTTCGGTGGCATTGCGTAGGTCTTCCTGCTTGACATGGCCCTGCGCTCTCACCTGCATGGCCAAAGCCATTTCTTCTTTCTCTTTAGGTGAGAAGAACCGTCCCCCGTCGCCACGCTTCCGCTGCATGGCGTGTTTGTGCCGTGACTCGTGAAGATATTTCTGTAAGAGAGAGTAAGGAATCAGCCTGGATATGAGGCATAATTCATGTCAAAATACCTATTTTGGCATTCAGAAGAGGAAGACTCACCCTTCTTTCTTTAGGGATCTTGCCCTCTGCCTCTAACTTGGCACGAGCTTGGCGTCTTTTTAAGATACGGTGATATTGCTTGGCATTAACATACAGCGGCTCCTCTTCGAGCATCTCGGTCCCTGGCAGAGGGATTCGTTGGATGGCTGGCACAGCACCACCACCCGGCACCATCTGGCAGAGCGGGCAAGAAAGGGGCACGAAGAATTAATTTGGTCTGCAATGTCCAAAACATTTAATCAATCAATCAAATCAAATTTTTAGCAATCCAGTGATCAGTCAAGTGACAGTTAACAGCTGAGAACAGAACACAGAACAGCTGAGTGGATCATTTGTGAAGAAACGACGGGCAGATATCACCCTTACACTTGAATCAGTGCTAAAGATTAACACACAGTGGATGGAGGTCGCCACTTTCCACTTCCTTCTGAGTAAATCATCAAATCCTAGGAAGATTCCTGAAACTAGGATTTTTTAAAATTTTAAGACACTGAATGCTATTATGTATGTATTAAAGGAATAGTTTGTCTAAAAATACTTATATACTCTGTCATTAACAGAGTAAACCTGTTTGATTTTATTTCATGGGACACAAAAAAAAAAAAAAATGTATCCTAGTAATTTTTTAATGTAATGAAAGTGAAACCGGGGATCCAGGGTGACAAAGGACAAAGAAAGTACCATTCACATTTCATAAAAGTGGTCAGTTTGAATTTAGATGTGACAATATGGCATTATATTTCAATTCAAATCTTCTTAAGTCAATCAATAGCTTTTTGAGATAAAGAGACCAAATTTAAGTCACTAATCACCAATAAACTTCTTTTCCTGTGTAGTTCTCATATCTAATTCCCACTTCTGCATATTCAAACGTGCCACATCATCATCAGTTCATCTGAAACAAAATAATCTATGACTCCTCACATCCAATTGAAATCATTTAGTCTAAAGGTGTCATTTTTGCATTTCAGTGAATTACTTAAATTTCACCACTTTTTTGATACTTTTATGGTACTTTTTTGTCATTTTGAAACTTGCCAGCTCAGATCCAAGATCCAGATTGTTTTCTTTGTAACTTTGTAATTGTAACTGAAATAAAATAAAATATAGATATCAGATGAAAACTAAATGAAAACTAAAATTAGAAATGTGACAACGAAATGTATAAACATTTGGAAAAACATTTGGGTGAACTATCCCTTTAAGGTAAAATCACTCGTATGTCTGCATGTGAAAAGGGCTAGTCCAAAAGCAAGGTGATTGAGACTTAACACAGCATGCATACCCCCCACACCTGTGATGATGAATGAATTAAAGGGATGGTTTAAGTTTGTTAGATACCTCATCAGGAGGTCTTACCATGACCATTCCCCCAGCGTTCACTATGTTTCCAGATACTGGCAGAGTAACGGTAACTGTGCCCTGCCCGCTGTTGGTTGTGGAGGTATTAGCCTGGACAATCTGAGTGCCTGCCAGGGTGCCTGCTGGGATGGTGATCATGCCTATGGATGGGAGAGAACAAATAGTTCTAACCTGCATAACCTTCAGAACAAGTGTGTAGAATGGTATAATCACTAGGGTTGTGTCGATAGACGATAGTATCGTGTATCGAAGATTGTCAGAGATATCGACGATAGCAGATGTCTTTGTTGATAGTCAAGACGATATTACACTCATTCTCCTATTAATGTATTAAACTATTATTATTATTATTATTATTAGGCGACTTATAATTCGGCTATTATTATCAAATTGCCCTGCTATTTCACATCAGCTTCACACACTCGCGCAAATGAGGATTAGAGCCTGTAGCCGGTGAAGGAGTCTCCAACCACAAACACAGACGTACATCGTCTGCTTATATAAGGTATTTCATTGCACTTTAACAAGTAATCTGAACGGCCTATATATGTGCAATATTTTACCGAGCCGTCACTAACTGAGTTTAATGCCACAGTTATGCTAGAAAGCATCTCATTCTTGTTTCTGTGGCGGTGCGTCGGGCTCGTCATGGGGCGCGTGGTCCAGAGCGCTGTATGACTGATGTAACAACGTGTTTGTTTATGTCCAATATTTAGTATTAAACTGTTGGTCTTTAAAATAAATCTACTTTTGATTTTCACCATTGACTGATTTTGCAGACCTTTTATACTGATAACTTCTGTGTGCCGATCCGGCAAACTTGTCACAGGACGCGCGGTCCTAATAGCAATGTATGACTGTTGTATCCATATATATATTATCCATATATCCATTATTTTCCAGCACTGCCTTAACCCTCTTGGGCATGGAGTTCACCAGAGCTTCACAGGTTGCCACTAGAGTCCTCTTCCACTCCTCCATGACGACATCACGGAGCTGGTGGATGTTAGAGACCTTGCGCTCCTCCACCTTCCGTTTGAGGATGCCCATGCTTGGCCAATCCATCACCTTTACCCTCAGCTTCTTTAGCAAGGCAGTGGTCGTCTTGGAGGTGTGTTTGGGGTAGGGCTGCACGATAAATCGCATGCGATATTTAACGCGCATCTTATCAGTAAAGCCGGTTCTGTAATCAGCGGTAAATCTCCATCACGTGC